ATTATTATAACTTGTAAATTTTAAATATATGTCATATGAAAATGGACTATGGACTTGGATACTTCATTACCGACACACAAGACCCAATTATAGCCTATAGGTATAATGGTCGTCGCTTCTCGCAACTCGTTATCGTTGTTATCGAACGGGTTTCTGGCCGATCTGTCGACGCCATAAACATAATCGGTTAAATAAAAAAAAAATATTGAGTCTCTCAGTTGATAAAGAATGGTCTAATGAGGAAAAAACAAACGTAAAATTATTCAAACATATTCGGATGGTACTATAGGTCATGAGAGCTTAAAAGGTATATACATACAGGTATATAGAATATAGATACATTTATAGTCAACACTTTTTTTGTTATCATTGATAAATTGCAAACCTAATTAAAAAAACGTAGCTCAGCTTATGACAATATAACAAAACTTTTTGGATTTTTGACTCGTTTGGACGCTATTGATGATAATTTATTTAAAAAGTCCTTAAATAATTTAGTCAAAGTTTACTCTCGTGATATAGAAGAAAGTCTATACGACGAATTGAAACAATTCTTCGGTATAGTTAAAGTCAAGGAAGATAATAATTTAATAAAAAAAAACCCGGTTAACATGTCACAAATGATCTTTTGGGCGTTTTTCCACATATTTATATAGCATTCCGAATTTTAAAAAAAAATTTTTTTTTAAGTATACCAGTTACTAACTGTGAAAGTGAAAGATCTTTTTCTGCACTAACAATAATTAAAAATAAATTGTATGATGGGTGAATCAAGACTGACATATCTATCAATTCTTTCCATAGAGTGTGAATTGACTATGAAATATGAATATTTCATTTGAAAATATTATAAGAACATTTGTTCAAGAAAAATCTAGGAAAAAGTTTTTCAAACATATTATTACCTATATAAGATATAAATTATATGTATATTTTTTTATTTTTATTGCATATGCTGAAAAAATGTATAATATAATATAATAATAAAATGTTATTTAAAAACAATGCTATACTTATTTTAATTTATATTTATCACAAATTACAAAAACCGAAGGAAAAAAGGAAATCGTTTTAGTTGAAAGGGTCTTAATAAAAGTAAGAGCCCCCTTAAATTATGACCATAATCCGGCCCTGTATACTTGACCTGAAATTTGCAGGATTTTTTTAATACCATGTTAATTTGACAAACTTAGTCGAAATCACGGATATTTGAAAATATTATTTTGTAGTTAGATTCAATATTAAAAAAGCGAGCAAGTGGGTACCGCTCTGCTTTGTAGAGGTACAAAAAATGATTCTGAGTGGAGATGGTCTGTATCATGTATCTACATCTTGTGTATTTTATAATATGCTTTTTGATAGGCATTGCTATTAATTTATGTTACTTTAAGCTATTCAGGTTTAAAATACTAGACTTACCTATTAAAAAATAGCATTACAATATAACATTATTTTTTTAGTACTAATAAACGATAAATTGAAATAATTATTAATTACAGTGCACAGTTCTAAATGTTCAATAATATAAGTACGATTGGAGGAACTACATTTTATTTTTATGCTTCAATGTAAAATATTATGTATTATATATTATGTAAAATTTACTCTGTAATACCTACAATATTAATAAATCAAGCATGACTTAAAATGTTGGGTAACTATAGACTACAGTAGATAGGTACATCGTGCGTGGTAGATCAAATTACTATTTTGCTAGAAATTCTTATTTAAACTAAATAAATAATTAATCTGACAGTTTTATTGCTCCAAAGTGTAGGGTATTAAAATTGAACCATTAAGTGGCTGATAAATTGGCTATAAACTATGTGATCATGTAACTGAGTGATTTTTATCATTTAATAACTTAAGGAACTAATAAAATAATAATCAATAATAATGTCCATATTTTTCACAGCTTGACAGATATGTAGCCGTACACAAACAATTAAGATCCGTTAATAATCAAATATGTACATCAAATAAATATCAAGATATACCTAATTCCCGCTTTTAAGAAAACATCTTGGAACGCAGACAATGTAAAATCGGGAAGTTAGTATAGTTTAATATTTTATTAGGAACCTTTTTTTTTAATAAATGTATTTAATTGTTCTCAAAGTCTTTTTTTCTTATCTAAAGAACGTATTATTTATTTACTTAAACAGCTATTTCATCTGCTTTTGTATGATAATATATAAAAGCAAACTATTTTATTTCAAATCGACAATGGTTGTACCAAATCTGTACAGATATCGGTGATTTTACAACATAAAATAACCATAACCACTTATTTGGTAATACCATTCCATTAGACTATTTTACTGGCACGTGTAGAGATGTTTTTTGAAAATCGTAAGTTGATAAAAATATTTCTTAAAAATTATATTTAATATTTATACGACGTAATGTACATGAATATACTCTGTCTTAAAGTAGAATACACTGGTTCTAGCTTCGCAATTGTTTCCCCTTTCACCTGTCACTATCTATGCCGTTATATGGGAGATGCGTGTCACCGACTGAAACAGGTCGGTATTATACTTTAGTGTTAAGTCCATTCCAATTATTAAAATAATTAATTAGGTACGAATGTGTAGTGCGTTTACTGCATAGCCACATATGACGTAAGTAGGTATATTATGCATAATTCGCAAGGCTGGGCATAAACGAGTTAAAAAGTTAAAGTTAAGTTAAAAAGTTAATTTTATTTTAACTTTTCAACTTAACTAGTTACTTTTGGTTTTCATTAACTTAACTGTTAACTTACTTAATTTCTTTTTTAATTAACGTGAAATGAACGAGTTCATTTTTCATTTTATGAAGTAAGTTAAGTTAATTTATTTTTTTTTAATTTTATTATATTTTACTATTTCAGTCTATTTTGATTTCATGTCAAGAAATATTTACCGTAAATTGTTAAAATTGTTAAAGTAAAAATTTTATAATACCATTCGAATCTAACTAATATGGAAATGCTGTATAAAGTATAAACACTATAGTCTATAATTTAGTTTTCGATTGGAAAACATTAAACAATTAAGTACGCTAGCGTTGTATAAACAAATTAACTTTTTTTTTTACTTTATAAACAGTTAACAAAAAGTGTCTATTAACTTTTAACTTAACTGAGTTAACCTATAGTTCAATAAACTTTTAACTTTCAACGTTTTGCTATTGGTATACATTAACTTAACTTGTTTGAGTTAAAAAAAATCATTAACTTGCCCAGCCTTGATAATTCGTGTTAATATATAACGAAATAAGTATCATATTTCAATGAATGAAAATTGTAAAAAAATTGAGCCTTCATAGGTTATTAAGTCTTTTCAACAAAGGAGAACTTCAAATTTTGAATTTTGTTACTAACTGACTCACTAATTATCAAAATTAAAAGGTACTTCCAGCATAGGCAGAAACGTGAAATTTGTCACAAAGGTAAGCTTTATAATGAAAATAGAGGGACAATTCTAAAAATTCCAATTTGATCAAAATTAATGGCAATTTAAGAAGATTAATAGGTTTTTAAACAATTTTAAACCCGCATATTGACACTGCGTTGTGTAAATGCTGCATAAATGTATGTATAACAAGGCAGCTAAAACAATATATTTTATCGGTTTTGATGATCAGAGTAAAAATTGGCTCTTATTTATAGAAAATATGATGTGTATTAATTTGATTTTTATAATACAAAAGATAACATATATTCAAGCTTACGTCAGTAAGTAGATACGGACAATTTGACACCGAGGTTGGTCATATAGTGCAAAAAGAAAAACCTAAAAATTGCAATTTCTTATAATGAATGCTGCTTTAGGGAGGGTAGTTCTCATTGGCCTGAAGTTACATTGAATTGACACGTTTAGCAAAAAGGGGCTTTCGGCTTCTGAATTTTAATAAATTGTATTGAATTTATGATTGAACCCCCAAAACGTTGCCCCACTATGCAAAAGCTAGTAAATTGAATGATATTCTACAAAATTCTAACAGTAAAAAATGGTAAAGTCTAAGAGGGGATTGATATACAAATCTCTTTAATTGTATTATAACTTATAACTTGACCAGTTTCAATGAGAAATAACCAGAAGATTGAAATAAAACTTCAGTCATTGACAACGCCAGAGAGACAAAATCAGAAATTGACAATTCAGTCTCACATTAAAGTTAACAACATAAAGCTTGTAAATTTGTGTTAGAAAATGTTCTAAATATTAAGTTTTTTAAACTGAGCCAACACATGCTTATGTGACGTCTCTTAAAGGGAGAAAATAGTGTTTAACCGAGTCAATGATAGTGATTAATTAAAGCAATTACTAAAAAGGTACATCTATAAATACTACTATAATATACCATAGTAAATGTGACATATTACAATATCATATAAGACAAATTAACTCTCGTTTACCAAACTATTTGAATAATACTCAAGTCATTTATAAGTTGTAGCTAGATAGTCTATATTTTGTTTTATATTATGTTTGTGGTTATGAATTATGAAAAATATATCAAAATATGTATTAATAATGAGATAATATTGTTTTCATTTTTAGAAATTCTTTTTATAACCTTACCAGATTCGTGTAATACCTAGATATATATGGTATGTACTTTAACAGTATTATAGATTTATAGAGTAGGTACTATATTTTTTTTAGATAAATATTAAATAAAATAATTTAGATAATACTACATTAGGTGCATAATATTAGTAAGGTAGCGATAATTTTGCTTTATGTGTGTGGAGGGGGAGTGGTCTAATATAGTAATTTAAGACTGTTTCTATTTTTATTTTTGGTGGTTGACATCATACAAGGCATATATACATCATAATGTAGGTATGGCATGTATTGTATTAATTGTTTTAATCGTCGATAAGTATCATAATGTCGCATCGCTACATTTTGAAATCTATAGAATCAATGTAAATAATTAAATTAACATTATTTTTTTCTTTTAGGTTCAACGCAAATGCATTATATACGGCAGTCAAAAAAACAAATATGATCCACCATGATTTAAAAAAGAAAACAAGCAGGATTATTTATTTGCATGGCTCTGACGATGTGTGGAGTACATTGGGTCTTATTGAACCACGGACAAAAGACTCCGTTTCAATTGTCATTAAAGGTAGAAAATCATTAAACTATTAGGCTCATTTTTAAAAATTAAAATGTCTGTTTATTGTGAAACAAAATTATGTATTTTTAGGAGGATCTCATTGTGCAGATGTATATCCTTCTCGTTCATCGGACCCACCACAGTTAAAGAAAGCTCGAATAACTGTTGCATTTTATTTTAAAAAAATGGTTGTTGGAAGAATAATGTTTTGCACGGATAAAAGATAATTAAAATAATTATTATTTGAAGTATATTCAATAGTAATTTAATTAAGTTTTAAATATTTATTCAAACATAAAATTCTGTAGGTATATTAAATTAATTAAAAACCAAGTTAATATATTTTGCTCTAAATGATAATTAATATAGTATGCATATTACAATTTACATACTAATATGTTAATATGTATTATATTATATTAGTAATACACTAATACATTAAAATATTAAAAATATTTATACTTATAATATGTATTTCTCTGGCACTGTGAATTCTATGCGTGAGTTAAAACACCAGAGAGCAGAGACGAGCTCAGTCATCCTCATAGTTTATGTAAACTGATACGCTGTACCAGAACCGGAAACCACTACACATTACTACACTGAGTAATGAAATTATTATATTATTTATTATATAAAATAATATTTAAAAAACAATATCTATACCTACTTTGCCAATTATTATATTTATTTTGTATTCGTATTTTAAACTAGGTATCGTATATTCATATTCTTATGTACCAATAACATATAGACACAATTAATAATAATAATAGCCCTGACGTTTATGAGTGAATAATAATACTTATTATACTTATTATACTACTTATAATACTTATAATACTTACTCGTATATCTATAAAACCAGTATTCATTTATTTGCCAATACTTTTTTATTTATCCTCAGAAATTCTTACACAAAAGGTGTTACGCTATACGTACTACGTAGGTATAGTGACTACTGACTATAGCCTATAGGTAGTATAATATAGTTAGTACCTATACCTATCTAAGCATCAACTATGAAACTAGGATCCTGCGAGTGCAGACTGCAGTTTTCCCAGCATTTCACTAGTAAGCACAATGAGCTACTTTTAAAGCTAAGATTATTTACTTTTTAAAAATTCGTCGTAATCACGAAAATTTGTAAATATATTTTATTGATAGAAATTTATAAAGTGTTCAATTCTATTAGCAATTTAATACAAAATTCGTCATAAATTATTCTCAGAGAAACCTTAAAATATTGAAAATAAGTAGGTACGCACGAATTTAGATGAGCGGAACAATGAATATATTGATTGGTTTGTTTCGAGTTCGGCGACACCCGGTTTTTTGACCAAAATATTAGTTTTCAAAGGCTATTAAAAAAAAGTACAATTCACTGACAACAATGATGATATTGGCTATATGCCTCTTGACATAGCAATATATACAACTATACTAGCGGATCCTGCGCACTTCGTTATCCATACAAAGTGACAACTCTTAAAAGAATTGTGATTGTTTAACTCGTATTGGGTATAACTCGCTGCAGTAAGTGTAACTCAGCCACTCTGGTAGACGTTTGTGAAGTTGGCCCACCTAAGTCATTCAGTTTCTTTTAAATCTATGCCATTATTTTGCAAGTTATTTGCAAGTATTTTCAAGTCCATTTGTAGAATTCACAAGTCCAAAAATAATTTATAAAAAAAAAAACAAAAATATATTTATTCAAAAATATAGATGTTAGAGTAAAAAAATCTTTAATTTAAATTTACAACAACCCTTTAATTAAAAACACTTACAAAAAGACAGTTACAATTGAAGGTATCTACTTGATGGTACCTGTATTTAAATAAACAGCTCAAAGAGAGTCAAATTATTTTCATTATTATATGGTGTATCGAAAATGCGAATATAAAATATATTCAGTGAACTTTTCAAGTATTTACAGTCATTCGTTTTTTATTTACAATAAAATAAGAAAATTGTTACATTCGAAATCGAATGAATATCAAACGTTGTAAAAAATGAATTTCAAACCCTCATACATTTTTAATTTGAGTTTCTTGTGGACATTTATTTTAGATAAAGGTAGACAAACTTACGAGGAATCTTGTTTTATATTTTCAAATCTTAGATTTAAAAACAACATTTTTTATGAATTTCTAACTCAAAAAAATGTTCACATTTTGAGTTGTTTTATCAATATTTGAACTTTAAATGTTAATAAAAAAGAAAAACGTGACCATGGATTTTTAATTTTTTTCATCTGTCTTTGAACAATATACTAGGAGAATTCTATTATATTTTTCTTTTTTAACCAGCAAATAAAATTTTATTGATATTTATAAAAAAAAAACTAAAAAAAATGGAAAATGAAAATTTTCCTAAACAGTTCAAAACAAATCAATAATCATAATATTTTGAAAATTGCATCGTGTATAGAAAATGCAAACATAAACAGTCAGTGAAAATTTCCCGTACATACATTCATTTTTTTTAGAGTTACACCAAAAACCAGAATCGATTTTGTGGAAAACCGATTTTTAGTAAAAATAATCCTGTAATTTTTCCAGGTGTCTGTGAAGACTCTTGGGAATTTTAAAATTTGACCTCCTGAATGCTTTAACTCATTAACTGGATTCACTTTCCCATCGCACAAGATATACTGTTATAGAAAATCGAAGAAGTTTTACTGCCCCAAACAGTGATGACAGACATAAAAATAAAAATTTAAATAAAAAATAAAGAAAACACACACATCATTGTAAAATCATTGGAAATATCTATATTCTATATGTATACAGTGGCGTAGACATGATTTCTGAAAGGGGGGGGGGGATCAAAAGTAAATTGTAAATATTATTATATTACATCAAAAAAATATCTACCGGAAAGTCAATTAAATTTTTTTGAGCGTTTGAAATTCAAATTTTTACAACCGTGGATATTCACTCGATTATTCATGTAGCGATTTCCTTATTTTGTTGTAGTTCAAAAACGAATAACTGTAGATACGTGAAAATTTCACTGAATATTTATATTAGCATTTCCTACACAACATAAAATTTTGAAAATATTTTGACTCTTTTTGTGCCGTTTACGGACATTTTCAGTTTTAAATTTTTTTAGTTTTTTTTTTTCTATAAATATCAATAAAGTTTTATCTTTTGGGCCAAAAAATGTAAAAATTTAATACAAGGCTCTTATATTTAATTGAAAAATATTAAAAAATACATACCTAGGCACAATTTTTTTTTATAAGCATTTAAAGTACGAATTTTGACAAAATTTATCAAAATCTCGAAAATCATCAATCATTGTAATTAATAAATTATAAATATATTTATATATTTATTTAAATATACATTTAATTATTAAATGTTCAGTTTTTATAGCTATGGATTGCAAATTTAAAACAAAGGTTCTCATAAATAGTTCATACTGTAGCCAAAAAATCTAAAAAATATATGAACACAGCTATTTTTTACAGACATTTTAAATTCAAATTTGGACGAAATTACATATTAAAAAACCTAGAATAACGAATAACTATTTTATTTATTTTGTTGTGATTGAATAATATTATTCGTGGGTACTCGAAACTTCTAAAGTGTACTATTATATATCTATGACAGTATCACGGTTGTTGTTGATGTATAACGCGTTATAAGTACCTACCTAATGGATATTGTGATATGATTAATTTGGAATTTATTATAGGAACTATTATAATATGTCATTTTTTTGTTTAATACCTTAGATATGTATATAATATGTCTTATACCTAGACTGACATACCGTCTCCGCTCAGAATCGTTTTTCTTATACAATGATATTATATCGTTGAATTCAAATTTAATATCATCCATTATACAGTGACCCACTTGTAACCTACTGTACAGCAGAGTGACACCCACTTGTACACCTTTTTTTATTTTTAAAAATTTAAAAATTATATAAATTATTGTAGTTAATAGGTATACAAACTGATGGTACACATTTTGAAAGTATGCTAATAAATGTCTGTACTGTTACCTAAATCTTTTAAAAAATAAAATATTAATAGTTCTTTAGTCTAATAACATGAACAATTTTAGCTACCGATTGTTTTAATTTTACCTATATGAAAACAAAAAATGTTAAGTAACTTAACTTGAGTTAAAAAGTTAATTTTAAATTTTGGTTAACTTTTAACTTAGTTCAATTGATAGAACATTTTGAAGATGAATGACACCCGTTCAAAGGTAATCACATAACCATAAGTGTATAAAAGCCCCACAAAAAATCATTTTCATTTTCATTTAGTGAGATAGAACTCCGAAAATGGAGAGTGGATTTCGTTATTTGGGGGTCTTGTTAGATTCCGTGAAATTTTTATTTTATCATACAAAAATTTAATACCGTTTTGCCCCAGATTATGTGGTTTTAGAGTCACGGTAATTAAGTAAAAATTATAAACAATATATCTCCAAATTATATTATTCAGTAATCTGAACTTTCAAACGAAATGATATATAAAATGTTGAATAATAACATGTTATGAAAAAAAATAGCGATTGCACATATTTTGTGATAATAGGAATTTGAGTTTGAGTTTATTACAAGCAAGTTGTATTGATGACTAACCTTGATTATAAGTGAGTTTAATAGTTATCAACAACAATAAACATATAGTCATGTATAAATAAACATAAATAATTATAAAAAAAATAAATAATTTTTTTCTATATTATTATTCGGACATACGGTGGCCACCTCTGGCTGGTAGTATGATAGGGTACCTACATTAAAAATTTTTATAATAATAATTATACAACGATGGACCTAAGTGACGGCTTTAAACGGCAAAATACTAATGGAAAATTAATTTTATCCGACATGACACAGATAACACAATTATTCAATGTATCGCTGCCATTAAGAACTTTACTGTCAAGTAGCCCACTAGTTGTGGTAAGGCCGTATTAATCATGGGGAAAAACCGTATAGATGTCGTAATAGTAGTCATTGATGGAAAAAGTCTAAAAAATAATGGTGGGGGGGGGTGTATCACTTCAAGGTCTGGTAATGGTTAGAATATATTATTGCCTACGCGCTTAACATACTAATATACTATGTTGATACCTTGCGCTGCCGGTAGTCATATTTTGAGGTTAAGAACATTATTTATATGGCATTCAGGCTTATTTTTATGGACTATGTTATTATATTATTTTCTTCGAAAATATAAATTAGTTGGTTTTTAATAAACTAGCTAGTTTATGTGGTCGAAAGTTATTTTAAACTTGTATAATACTATAGTGCCACAACCTCAAAAAACTTCTGTAGGGCACGACCGATTAAAGCGGAATGCTGATAAATAATAATGAACAGTTGTCCGACCTTATCATCTAAGACTGTGTATTTATCCGAAACATCAAGAACTTATACAAATACTACATAATACGACGTATTTGACTTCTAGTCGTGAACACCAGTTATTATATTTTGGTAATTTTTGGTTTCTACTGTAGTGTGGTAAGAGTTTATTTATTTATTTTCAAACAAAAATATACAAGACTAAATCTAAGAATGTTAACACCCGGGGGCCCCTATTTTCATTGAAATAACTGAGATGTAACTCAAATAGTTTTTTAAAACATTATTATTTATTTATTTACAAAATACAAGAAAATTACATAATGTAGTGTTCACTGTATAATGGGCCTCGTGTTCTGGAGCAATTAGGTAATAATATCTAGTCTTAAAAAATTATATTGCTAAGCTGGTGGTTATATTTATTTTTTATACAAACATAGTATTTTTACAGAAAATAGTCCAACAAAAATTCTGCTTACAAAAAATGTATTCATCCTTGGTAGGTAATTTGTCTATTATGCACATCAGTTAATATTAATAAATATTTCACTAATTTTTATTTTCAATATATTTTACAAATATTGAGCAACGATCAAACACTTGGTAATATAATACATATTTTTCATAAATATAGTTCTAAACATTTAACTATTTCTGAAAATTTCAAATAATTTTTTTTAATCAAGTATTTACAGTCAAAATCTATATGATACTCATGTTTGAAATTTACTCATCTTGTTTTCAATGATAAAATAACTTGATATGGTTTGCTACTTAGCCCATCTTCTGCCGCTTATGTATGAACTATGAAAGCAAAATTAAATATACAACTGACATCAATAATAATTTAGAAAAGATATGAGCAATTATTTCATCCGTGTACTTTAACATAACTATTCGGTGTGTACGACAACAAACGTGCATTATGTATACTCATTATGTTACTCTACATTAATACTCCTGGCCAAATAATAATTAGTTTTTATGTTCTAAATAGGTGTTAAGCCGTGAAAAATGTCGAATAATAGCATTTCAACATACAAATTCAAACCATTTGAGTTCACTGTATTACAGAAAAATCTTGAACCACAGCAACCACCGTTGGTGAGACCTGTGCACAGCTTGGTTTGCAATAATGCCTATTTATTCCTTTTTGGACAATTCATAAGTCGAACAAATGTGAGAGATATTTTTTTTTATACAAATTACTGCCAATTAATAATATTTATAGTTAGAGACCGGATTTATATGCAAAAATATTCTTTCATGAAGAAATATTCTTTTTCATAAAAATTTATTAAACACTGAAAAACAAATAAAAGTAACAGTTTAAAAAAATAAACAGTTAAATTTAATCTATAATATGGTGATATACTGGTGTACCTATATTAACTGTTGTAACCTAAACTTATGAATTCAAAAAATGATAATACTAAAATAAAAAATAAATTGCATATAGTTCATTAACAGAATAATATTATGTATTCACACACCAAGTTAAATAATTCAGACTTATAAAATCAAAAAATAATAATAGTAAAAATAAAAAAAATTATTGCATATAACAGAATAATATTGTGTAGTAAAATAACTCAAACTTAAATAATTCAGCCTAACGAACTCAAATAATAATAATAATAACAAGTTTTAAATAATAAAAATAAAATATTTTTATATTTATTCAAAGTTGAACCCAATATAGCAATATATTCCTAAAAAATGTTTTTTACACAAAACATTCTTTAATCTTAAAAAAATATTTTTTATGCGCTAAAAAATGTTGTATATCAGTTCATAGGTAAATGAATCGTCGAGAAAGCTTAGCTAATTGGAGCTGCATACTCTCAGAAAGATATGTAAAAACATAAAAATCCGGTCTCTATAATTATTTCTTTTAATTTAAACTGTGTTCTGCTCTTGAAATGGATATTATTTTACTGTTCATTATCTTTTGGTTGCCTGTGTTTATATCGTAACTCATCTTACTGACATTCTCTTAAAGGTATAAATCATAATCAATGTGTACTTGTAGGATGCTCCTGGTCAAAGAGTTATGCATCAGATTTGGAAGTATAGTTTGGATTTAGTGGAATGGAAAATTGTCAATTGCAAAAATGTTCCTCAGGAATTAATAACTAGTTACAATGTATTTACAATATCTGGCAACATAATTATTATATATGGAGGTATTGGAGTTCCATCTGGAGGAATTTGTAACAACCGCATGTACTTGGGTAATATTTTAATGACACAACTTACATTAATGATGAAAATTAGTAAAATTATTACACAATTTTAATGATTCCAGCAAATTTAGCCAATGAATATAAAGAAAATGGAATGAGCTTTGTAGATTTAGAAGAGTCTGGAGATGTTCCGTACAAATTATGTGGACTAGGTGTTGTAATGGATGGTAAATATATTTATACAATTGGTAACACAACCGGTCCCAAAAATGATATGGATGTTCATCGATTTGATCTGAGTACAAAAAAATGGGATTTGTTACATAAGTCAGTCGGAGAAGTTCAAGACCTTGAACCTAGATATCCACATGAAGTGGTATTCTACAAGAGCAAAATATACATATTCGCTGACAAAGGAGGTGGCGTTAGGAGGTTTTCGGTTAGTGTAAAATATTTAATTTATATTTTTTTAAATATAGTACCTATTTTCAACAAATATACTTTTTATTCAATCCTATTCATTATTTTATGAATTTAAACCATGTTATGAGGGAAGTATTTTTACTAAGTGAATTTGTTTTAAAGAAATAAAATAATAAATTTAAAATTTATCGAAGTAATGATGTAAATTTACGTTATATACATATCACGGTCGGTAGGAAAGACATAAATTTGCAGATTTCATTTTATATATATTATTTGTATAATATTATGTTAACTACAATGTAAATTAGTAATTTTAGTGAATTCTGGTCAATAATGACAATAACTATTTTTTTAAGTTAATAACAATATTTCCTAACTATATTAAATAATGTATAACTGTCTTAAACAGTGATGATATATTTATATAGGTATTACTTAAGTATAAGTACAATAACTAAATACCTAATATCATAACCCATGATAACATAAATATATGTGATTTGTCATTCTTCTGTAGGAGTAGTTATTAAATAAATAAAAATCTTAACACATATAATACCTACCTAGTAAAAATAAATAATTTTTTGAATTATATTTACTAGGTACCATTAAAATTTATATTGATACCTATCAAATTTTTCTGTAATTTAAAATGATTTGTTTTTTAAGTGAAATAGAGATTAATAATTTGATAATAAAATATAGCTTGTTGATAATAATAATTAATAACACTTTAAATGTTATAACTAGAGAGCGGATTTCAATGTAAAAGGCATTTTTTTCTGAAATAATGTTTTCCAAGCCTAATTTCAATTCATACATCTGAGATTTAAAAATTAAACTTTTATTTTCCTGTTATTTTTTAAGCATTTTTAGACATTTTAAATGCGTTTTTTTATCTTTACCTACTTCCTAGTATCTTTCTTCGAAAATGTTATAACATTTGTATGGATTTTCATCTAAAAGAAAAAATTCATATTTCTATTGTTAAAATGTATCTAGTGGTGAGTTATACACTATGCGATTTATCGTGCTCGTTTCAATCATCAGATATGCAGCGATTAATTGCACAAAATATTTTTATTTTTTTAAAGTACTTTTTAACTATTTTTTTATTTTATAAGTTCATTAGATTTTATTTTTTTCAGTTTAAAATAATTTGTAGGACATTCCTAATTTTTTTAGCTATTCTTTTTATATGTACATTAAATAGTATTTTTAAAGACATTTTTCTTGTTTTTAGAACACTTAAATCCACTCCCTAGTTATAACAATACCTCAATAGCATGAATGATGAAGTCATAGAATCAATATTTGGCCTAACAGGATCTTATCTACAGATGTTAATTTCAAACATGTGAATAAAATGTACCATATAGTCTTATATGTTATAAGTTTATAACTGTATAAAGTCTTATATTTTATTTTGGTAGAGTATACAGAATGCTTGCTGCAGTTTCTGTTATATCGAACATCTTATTGCTAGCATACAACAAGATAGGCCAATTTGTGTATTTTAATGATGATAATAATTGATTTTTTTAATTTCATGCATTTTATATTCAGATATTATTATTTTTACTAGAAAATCCATATGTTCGATGTGGCCACCAAACAGTGGCAATTACTTTCAGCCAAACACGACCACAGGGTGCCAGAACCTGGTTATCCGATTGAGAGATGGTATCATACCTGTGTCCAGTGTCCTGATAAAGCTAACTTGGTATATATATGTGGTGGTGTAGATGGTAATCAATCCTTCAACGACTTTTGGCGTATTGATTTTGACACCTTGCAATGGGAAAAACTGTGTATAACGCATCGGACAGTACACTTACACTCAACTGAAATAACGCCTTCTGGTCGTATGTATTGTTATGGTGGCGTAATTCCTTTTGATGATATAAATTATAGAGGCATATTTACAAACACTTTAACTAGTGGATGGATTAAGATACCCAAATTGAAAGACATATGTTGGGAAGCAATGATTTACTATTTCAAAGAACAGATGTTTAAGTCTACTGATGAGTGTCTAAAGAAAATTGGTATACCTCAAGAATACTATGAACGGATAATTGAAGCGCGTAGAATTCGTTAAATTTAGTTGATTTTAAAAATTCATTACTTCATTAAAGTTTTCTAGAACTTTAATGTTGTTAAATGTTTATTAAATAAATATTTTTGATGGTTTTATAAAATTCTTTTTTGTTTTTTATGTCAGTTGTATTATTTTACATAACTATGAAATTTATAGACAAATGGTGTTAAAAGTTATAACCATAAAATATATAATCAAATGTTTAAAACATGATTCAAGTTTGTTTATTGTTCTTTTTTATTGTATTTATAAGAATTAAAAAAACTATTAGATATAAATTGTAATTTGTATAAATCTAACTTAAACCAGCTTAACTGATCAACATAATTATTGTAATATTATATTTAACATATTATAATTGTTCAAAACTAATGTGGTGATGTATTCCTATATGTATTAATGTATAATAATAAAACTGATTTCCAACATTTGATGAATTTTGTGTCAAAATAAAAGTAAATTAATAATATTGTATTTTATATCAGGCTAACCAAATTTTGAGTTACAAAATTGACTGGAGGAGGGGGAGATTTCAAATTACACCTTGTAGTGTAATCCTCTTCAGTTTTGAAACCCAAATTTGGTATGGCATTCGCAGGATTGAATATTATACTCAAAAAAGAGTATCATTATACATGAATTTTGTATAACTATATACAATATACAAGATTCATTGTGAGAAAATAAAAGATATAGGATATCAGTAAAAATGTTTCAAAATTAACTTTCTAAATATAATTTTATTATTAAATAAATAATTATTTATACATAAAATATTACAATACTTGCATATGTGGTGGACCTTCATGGCTACACTCATAATGTCATAGAACAACAATATTGTTAGTTAGTGGATTCTAATTTTTATAGTACAAAAAATTCCCCCTAGTTCTTATGTGAGTTGATATGTATATGAGCACCAAAATTTAATCGCATAATATGCTTTTTAGACTACCTATCTTATAAGTATAACAAAGACAACAATGTAACATATATTATAAGTATTCATTCAGTTCTGAAACATGCAGATCGAAATCAAAATTCTATAATTTGTAAATTCTAAAACAATTATGCAACGCAAAGCAGGTATCTTTTGAAAAATAAGTAACATGAAACTACTACAATAGTATAAAATGTATAATGTATAGTGAATTATGATACTTGATACATCCGAAATATGTATCATGGTACAAGATACAATTGTATTTTTGATACATGTATAATATGTAACTGTGATCCTGCCCAGCCCTGGGTATCTGCTAGCAAGTTGTGAATATTAGATAACTGTTTAATTCCTATACGATACTCTGTTACTTTTAGATTTTGATCGGAGCGACGATATTGATAATTTTACAAAGATGTGTTTTTAAATTTTTAAATTTTGTGTCTGTTTACCCGTTAAGTAGTCGAAATAATGCTTTGATTTGTTTTTATTTTAAATTCATATTTTGATAATTTAATATCATAAATGCATACTTTCTTCATGAATGTACAGCAAATTTAAGAAGATGATTAAGAATTGTTTGCAATTGGGTGTCGCTCTGCTCTACAATAGATTACAAGTGGGTCACTGTAATGGATTGTCTTACATTTTAATTTGATGAGAAAATTTCATTGTAAAAGAAAAACTATTCTGCTGAATACAGTCAGTTAGCTTATTATACATTACTAAGTAGGTATATTTTATGATATTATTGTGAATAAAGTTATTTAAATAGTATAGAAAATGGTAATGTTAACAACCATTGGTTATAAAGCCGTTGGTTATAAATATATAGTATTTACCCGCTTAACACCCTGCAGTCGAGAGTGTTTAAGGAAATTAGTATAGGCAACTTAACATGATGACATTAAAGTAACTTTGATTTGTGTTTGTCCTGTGCTAAGTAAGGGTGTTTGTCTAATCTGTTTATCTGTAATATTGTTTTCGGTCGATATTCCCAGAAACCATCAATCGAGTCGACACCAAACATAGTAGGTAATCAAAGAAACAATTTACGCGGGTCACAAATATTGTTGTCAGTCAGTAATTTAAGTTTAAGGAAGTGCGATCACTGGATGGTTTCGTCCATCACCCTATTCAATATGCATGTTCTAAATTTATTGTAGCACGTCATATTCTTATTATGCTCCTGGGTATAGTTTATATAGTTATTATTCTCTAAAAATAATTTTAAAAAAAAGTTATTTTTGTAGTTGTAGGTAATTTCACCGAATTTACTGGCCTGGGGGTTTTTTATTTATTCACTAGCCGAATATCCCGACTTCAGCCGAGTGCAATTTTTTTTTTGTGACAAATCAATTATAGTAGGTATAATATATGCGCTATATAGGACTTGTATCTCAGTCTGAATGTTTCTCAGTTTCGGTGTACGGCACACGGCAGTGTACCTCAGTTCAAATATCGGCGTCAATGTACCTATATAGGTAGCTTTGTGAAATAATTCGCCCAAAATGAGCAACCTCAAGTTGTGGATTTTATTTAGCACTTGATATATAGAACTTGAACTAATTACTCTCTAAACTTTTCTGATATCTATAAAGACAAAATATCCGAGATATGCCCGTGTGCAGTTTTTTATAGGAAAATACGCTATAGGTATAGGTGTCAGTCAGTTTGAACAGTGGGGTCGAAGTAGCTTAAAAAATAAAAATACTCGGCAAACTAAGCAAAACAATATAAGACACCACGTATCCCTAACAAATTTCAAAGAGACAAGAGCTTTTTCCCATCACCCCCCAAAACTAAATTTTTATACTAACATCCATACCTTTTATAGTAAAATTTGAACTCCAAATGCTTATAGTAAGAAAACATTTTTCAATAGATGTTTAAAGAAAAAAAATTTGAAATTAAAATTATAGAGTTGTATTTATTGACAACAGGTTAGTAGTTTTTGAGTCTATTAACTTCATTAAATAAATAATAGGGGTTAAAAATATAGTGACTAAATATCAAAGTTATTATATCCAAATAATTATATAATTTTATTATATGTAACCTACTGCAGCTATTTATATGAATAAAACATAATCATTTCTACCAATAGGCTATTATTACTATCTTATAGTATGCAATGAATGGTAACCATTAATATACAAAAAAGTGGGCAAGTGGGTGTCGCTCTGCTGTACAGTAGGTTACAAGTGGGTCACTGTATAATGGATGATATTAAATTTGAATTCAACGATAAACTATCATTGTATAAGGAAAACGATTCTGAGCGGAGACGGTATGTCAGTCTAGGTATAAGACATATTATATACATATCTATGGTACTAAACCAAAATTTGACCTATAATAGGTACCTATAATAAATTCCAAATTAATCATATCACAATATCCATTAGGTACTTATAACGCGCTATACGTCATCAACAAAAACTGTAATACTATCATAGATATATAATAGTACACTTTAGAAGTTTCAAGTACCCACGAATAATATTATTCAATCACAACAAAATAACTAAAATAGTTATTCTAGGTTTTTTAATATGTAATTTCGTCCAAATTTGAATTTAAAATGTCTGTAAAAAATAACTGTGTTCATATATTTTTTAGATTTTTTGGTTACAGTATGAACTATTTATGAGAACCTTTGTTTTAAATTTGCAATCCTTAGCTATAAAAACTGAACATTTTATAATTTATTAATTACAATGATTGATAATTTTCGAGATTGTGATAAATTTTGTCAAAATTCGATCTTTAAATGCTTATAAAAAAAAACTGTGCGTTTGTAATTTAATTTTTTTCAACTGATATTGTAACAATATATCAGGAGCCTTGTTATAAATTTTTACACATTTTGGCCCCACAGATAAAACTGTATTGATATTTATAGAAAAAAAACTAAAAAAAATTGAAAGCGGTAAATGTCCGTAAATAGCTCAAAAAGAGTCAAAATATTTTTAAAATTGTATGGTGTATAGGAAATGCTAATTCAAACATTTAGTGAAATTTTAATGTATCTACAGTTATTCGTTTTTTAATTACAACAAAATAAGGAAATCGCTATATTATGAGAAATCGAGTGAATATCCAATATTGTAAAAATTTGAATTTCAAAAGCTCATAAAAATTTAATTTGACTTTCTTATAGACATTTATTTCTTGATAAAGATAGATAATCTTATAAGGAATCTTGTATCACATATTTTTAAGATCTTAGATTTAAAAAGAAAAATTTTTACGAATTCTTAACTCAAAATAATTTGCTAATTTTCGTGATTTTTCCATATTTTGTCAATTTTTGAACTTTAAATGCTTATAAAAAAAACATTGTGACTCAGGATTTTTAATATTTTTCATCTGCCTTTGAAACAATATACTAGGAGCCTTCTATTAAATTTTCAAGCTTTCGCAACCAACAAATAAAATTTTATTGATATTTTTAGAAAAAAAAACTAAAAAAAGACGGAAAATGAAAATGTCCCTAAACAGTTCAAAATAAATCAAAATATTTTGAAAATGTTATCCTGTATATAAAATGCAAATAGTATAAACAACCAGTAAACATTTTATGTATATACGTTCATTTCTTTTAGAGTTACACCAAAAACCAAAATCGATTTTTTGGAAAACCAATTTTGCGTAAAAATTCCCGTTTTTAATTAATTTTTATGTTGTTTTTCCCGGCGCTTGTGAAAACTACTATGAAATTTGTACTGTGTTGACCCCCCAAAGTACCAACTAGATTTACTTTCCTATCAAAAAAGCTACTGTTGAAGAAAATCCAAGCACTTTTACTGTCCTAAAACGTGATGGCAGACACAAAAATAAATTAAAAAATTAAAAAATACAAAAAAAAACACACATCATTGTAAAATCAATACATTCATCGTTTCACTTAGAATCTAAAATACCATGGATAAGGGACTTTTCAATTTTGAAATACCTACCATCATTTTAAATGTCTTTGTAACGTCTTCTTAACAAGTATTATTTTGGAATCGTATTTATATAAAATGTATTTTTTCGAAATGGTATTAGATGT